GAGACCCAAGAAACTCTAAAGATAATAATCGTTATTAACTATGAATTGGCTGATAGCCGTTTATATCCAATCTTTCAAAATTTATCTCCACAAGTTAGAAACATTAGACGTACAACTCCTTATACTAGATCCTTACAACAATCAAGTGAATTTGTACCTAGTTATACAATTGATGAAGGGTTTTCCCCCATAAACTTACTTAGTCCATATGATAATAGGTGGAAGATTGAGGCACTTGTTGTTACAAAAAGTAGCATCAAATATTGGCAAAAATTTGATGGAACAGGAAGATGGTTCACTGTAGTTCTTTCTGACAGTAGCGGCGATATTCGTGCTACAGCTTTTGGGCAACAAGTAGATGAATTTTATGATAAACTACAAGTGGGAAAATTATATGAAATTTCCAAAGCAAAGGTTAATCCTGCCAACAAAAAATATTCATCACTTAAAAACGATTATGAGCTTATTATTGCAAGAGAAACAATCATTAGAGAAGTTCTTGATAAGGATTCTTCCAATTTTATGGCTTTTAATTTCGTTAAAATTTCTGATTTAATTGAATATGAAAAAGATGACATTATTGACGTTGTAGGCTTTGTTATTAATGTTAGCGATATTCAAGAGATAACAACTAAATCTAGAAGAAATGTCAATAAGCGTGGTATTACAATTATTGACCAAAGTAAACATCAAGTTGCATTAGCTTTGTGGGGTCAGCAAGCTGAAAAATACGATAATTCTCTCTTACACCAAGTCATCGCTTGTAAGAATGTGCGTGTTGGAGATTTTCAAGGGCGGAATATCTCACTAGTCATTGATAGCTTTTTAATAATTGATCCAAATATTAAAGAAGCGAAAGAATTACGTGATTGGTATAATTTACATGGATCTCATTCAACGTTCACCTCTTTAAATGTATCAAAATTTATGATGCAATATGGTGATGACATCAAGACGTTGGAACAAGCTAAATGTGAAAGGCTTGGTCAGGATAATAATGTTGATTTTTTTGTAATAATGGCAACTATTTTGTTTATAAAAAAAGGTGTCTTTACTTATCCGGCTTGCCCCACGTGCTATAAAAAAGTTATTAAAAACAACAATAATGAATGGCAATGTGGGAAGTGTTCTCAATCTTATCACGAACCTGAACATAGATACTTAATGACAGTTAGTATAGCAGATTTTACTGGCTACACAATATTAACATTCTTTAATGAAACCGCTGCTAGTATTATGGGAAATGAGGCAAATGAACTCATCAGATTGGAAGAAGAGAACGAGGTTAGTTATGATGCGTGTTTTTCGCAGGCATCTTGCAGACCTTATATGATCAAATGTCGTGCAAAAAGTGAAACCTACGA